TGGCCTACTGCTCAGAATTTCCATAAAAGGCGGTAAAAATACCCAATTCTGTTTGAATGGTCTTGAAATCTGCATTCAAACTCAAAATGCACTTCTTTTTATCTTCATAAACCCTTAAGCTTGTCTTCATTACTGAAAGTATTAAATTTTCACATATTTCTTATCTACTGCCTAGCAAACAGATCTAGTTTAAAACCATTGAGATAGACCCACATATCATCAATACAGATATTTTCCTTGCATCATGACATTTAAGTTTTTCATATGGCAAATAAGATCCATGCAAACTCAAAGTTCGAAAATCATGCTGTATCTTCCAAAAATTTTGAATTCTGCAGAAGACACTTATCATGGACGAATAATAATCATCTTTTCAGCTGCCAAACTGGCTCGAAAACACGTCATGCATTAAGCCACCTTATTGAGAATACTACACATTAGAATATTCAGACTGAATGGGTGGAAGAAACACCTCAAAAATGCCTGTAAGTCCAAGAAAAAAATAGTATATTACACATATTAGTTGTAATATTACACATGTTTGCTATAGGTACTTTCAAAGTTGAAAGACCTTACAGGAGTTCATGAAAAATATCACATCCTGATTTAGTTCCCTTTAATGACTGCATGTGTACTACCGTATTTGACGGCATATAAGACGCACCCTTATTTAGAAGGCCACACACAAGGAAAAAAAGTGTCAATAGTATGCACGACAGCATGTTACCACAATAACTTAAAAGTGGTTTCTTTTAGTTTTCACGTTTTGCAAAAGCTAAATAAACAATCATTGAATGCAATTACCAAATATATTATTATTAAGGAAAATTAACAAACGGCAAGCTATTTTGAACATGATAGGTAAATTTCAAGAATGAATGAATGGCAAGCAATCAAAATAATACAAAATAAAGCAGAACAACAAAAAAACACAGATCAAGGAAAACGTACCTATCATGAAATTAGAGTTTAATCACTTTCAAAACATAAAATCCTTTTCACTATCATCATCATCGAAAACGAGAATATTCGTCATCACTACTGTTTCCGTCATTGTTAGTATCACTTCTCGAATAATGTGTCGTCTTCTGTTCCGTCAAGAGCACTACTGATCCCGCACTTCTTAAAGGATTTAACAATTACTTCACTTTACGTCCTCCCAAGATCTTTTACTCACTCGCACACGTGTAAATAGAGAGCCACTTCATTCTACCTGAGGGTGTGATGGGCTCCTATCACTTGTTCCATCGTTCTCGCAACTTTTTCCTTAAGGCTTATTCACCGATGCATTTAAGGGTGCAATTGGCTAGTTAGTCCACCAGGAATTCTATCTATCTGGTTTTGAATTCTCTCACTTTATTCTTAATGGTTTCAGTTCTATGGGTGCTAAACTGACCCAAAACCAAAAGTCTAGAGGGTTTTCTTAAGAGTCCACCAGATCGCCTCGCCCATACGTTCTGTAACCACAGTTTCATTCCAGCTTAGTCCATCCAACCTTTCGGATGAACATGAACAATTACACCTTTGGAGGTTTTTCTTTCGGATGAGTTTTTCTTTTGAATATGAAAAACGACGGTAGTTTTGTGCCATCAGCACAACATGTTAGAACTACCATATATCGGGTTTTTTCATGACCTGTGATTTTTATGGTTATTTGATTTAGACACTTTAATATTCACAGTCTTGTTGGATAGTACATCAAAGGTGAATGGAATTTCCATACTCCTATTTGACCGAGCTCAAAAGAAGTTTTCTTGCGTGCATTTATAACAAACCTATGAATGCTAGTATTTCTTCATAATCTGCGGCGTTCTGTGCAATAGTTTTTTGTGCGCATGATAAGCCTTGCCTTTTCAGAACCTGTAGCACCAGCCCTCAGACCCTGAAAAGTTCTGATTCCCATATTTTTCTGCAAATCCTTTGGCCTCAATGATTATCATTTTGGTTGAAACACATATCCAGGATATAAGGATATACACTGATTACCAATAAGTATTTGGACACCTATGCAAATGACGATATCTGCAGTCCTAAGGTACATCACGGACTCCGCCGGTATATATCGTGTAGGAAACAGCATGGGCTTTAGTCGCATGCAAGATGCCTCACAGTTCTGAACTCTCTGATTTCGAGAAAGGTATAATATTAGGTTATCACAAATGTACCGATCCTTAAAGGACATATCTAGTGATCTGAAGTACCCAAAATCGACAGTGGCCAGTGATTAAGAAGTGGAAGGTGAGCGGTGTTGTCGGAATGTGCCTGAGTCGGCAGACCAACGAAACTGAGAGATAGAGACGATGAGTGCTGTCTAGAGAAATTTGAAGAACACACCCAACCAATGGCGTCATCCAGAGGGAGTTTCAACAAGTATCCGGGAGTATTGGTCAATGAAACCATCCGTAAGAAGCACATCTGCTTTTCATGTCGTGCTGCTGCCCATAAGCCTTTGATCACAAAGTCACCGCGCTGCTGGTTAATGTGGTGCAAAGCACATCGAAATTGGACCGTAGATTAGTGGAAACGGGTCTTTGGAGTGACGAATCAAGGTTCACCCTTACCGTTCGGATGCAGGGTCTGGGTCTGGCGTCTACCCGGAGAACGTCTCCTGCCAGAATGCATTGTGTCAGTCGCGGAGGTGGAATTATGGTTCGGGGGTGTTTCTCCTGGTATGGGTTGGGACCCTTCATCCCCATTCATGGTAAGCTCGACTCCGATGCCTACTGCATTATTTTGGATGACAATGTTCTTCCTACGTTGTGGCAGTTTTACGGGTCGGACCCTGTTACTTTCAGGTCGACAGAGCCAGTTGTCATGTTTCGACGTTAACCAAGGCTTGGTATGGTGCCAATGGAGTCATCGATGGACTGGCCTCCCAGAGTCCAGACCTGAACCTATTGAGACCTTCTGGGAAAGTTGCATCGCCAAATTCAGGTGCATACCCGTGCAATCGGTGAAGAACTTCATGTCTTCTCCAAGCCGTGGACGAAAATACCACTAGCTGTCATACAAAGACTTGGGAAAGTATGCCCCGGAGGGTCCACTCTGTAATTACCTCTCGTGGAGGCTCTACCAACTATTGATTTTGAATAAAGTTAGTTTTTCTTTTATATCACAGGTGTCCAAATACTTATTGGTAGTCAGTGTACCGTATGCTTCAACATAAGTTGCACATGTAGCTGCTTCCTGCATACTGTTTACTTTCTTTCATTTTCGGACACTGCTTCATAATTAGAATTGTTATTGCTTTCATGTGAAGTGACTGGAAATGTTCTAGTCTTTGGAGACTGCTATAGCTTCACTTGCAAATGAGATTCGCTGGTTTATGTTTCACAAGTGTAAAAAAAATATTTCCAGGTCCATTCATCTTTAAAAACATGATACTCTGAATGAACTCTTTACATTTTCAGTAGATATTTTGGGATTGAAATATATTACAAATATCCACAATAACCTCAAAAACGCATTGGAACACTATATTTTTTTTAAAATTTCATTATTCATAATGACACTATCTGTCTGCCAATTTTTCATTCAATGACAGATGCAATCAGTAATATTAGGACTCATGCCTATAGATAAGTATATCTGTAGGCATGAGTTCTAAATCCAGACAGTAGTATCCAAGACATGAAGACATGCAGATGGTGAGGCCTAAAGGATCTACTGAAAGTCTTGATTTCAACTATAATTATTATCTTGGTAAATTGCCTATGAGATATACCTTAAAAACTACTATTCAACTGTTCACCATGCTGCAGAAAACTGGAAACAGATTCCTACAGCAATTCACCACAACAGCTTATAGCTTCAGAAATTCCCTTCCAACTCTACATTAATAGCTAATGGCCAATGGAAATCAAGAATCATCAGAACACAAATTAAGTTTTTGCTGAGCTAAATTCATTTGCTATGAATATTACTTATTTCTCTATATGTAAAGTTTTCACACACCTGCAATATGATTTGCATTTATAAATTCAGATTTTGCTTAATCTTTCTGAGAAATAAGTTAAAAACAGCTTAACTGCCCACTGGTCTTTTAAAAACAAAGACCAATTACTGTGACCAATGAAAAACTAATGTCAGAAATCTTAACAGTTTTTGAAATAAATATTTTTCAAAATTACATTATCTAAACTTTTAAAATAGTAAAAGCAAGCCTCAGCCCCCCCCCAAAAGTTGGTCGTTGAATATCCTTATTCATACAAATTGAATTTAGAAAAGTCAGGACACAATTTTATTGTTAATAAAAAAGCACTATTAACTAATACGTAACAAATTTTGACACTTTTTCTTTCCTTCCAGGATAATAATTGCCAAAAATTGTAGTCAAAGCATATCTCCACTCTGTCTTTTAGATTCTAACATTTAGTTTTTAAATTTTCTTGATGTGAGAAATGTGTGGGTCTATAGCCTGCATTTGTACCTAGTTTATCCCAAGGTTAGATTCTGTATTTAACCTAATCAGTATAAGAACAAGTTATTGCACTGATTTTTCACCATTTCCTTTATTCACTAGTTCACAAGTGTAAGTAGACATTACTGTCATCTGCATTTCGTACATTGTCCACATGGAAAAATCTTTCTGTTAACATACTCCTTCCTGAGTTGTACCCAATAAATAATTCACCTAGTGACAGTACAAGTAAAATACATATTACTACCAATAAATTAGCAAGCTAAAGCCTCAAAAATATTGCAATAGTTCAAAAAACTAAGTTTTATAAATTAACACCAATGTATAACTGTACATAGTAAAAAAAAAAAAATCTGAACATGAAATAAATGCAAAAAGTAAAAAAAAAAATAGTTGACTGCAAACAAAAAGAAAAAAAAAAGGGGGGGTAATACTGTTGCAAAACTTTATTCAGCACTGATGAATAAATATTAAATACTCATAAAAACATGCAGATACAATTATATCCTGAGTGAACCTACTTGAAGTAATTCTTTGACAAGGTGTCTGGAAAGATCAAGGTCATACACGGTCACCACGTGAATTCAAATTTTACAAATGTTTAGTTAACCAGAAGTAATTATATATCAGAATAAGAAGGACCTAAAGTGATGAAATAGATTAAGTCACGTAAAAGCAGTTGTAACGTGTATTTTGATTTCTGGTCGAATGAGCTGTTTTTTCTGCCTGTTATGAGCCAGTTTTTCTCTTCCTTCCATGATTAATAGACCTTCTTGGGCATACGTTAACAGTACATTTTGCCATAACCAATCAAACTTATTAAAAAATATAAGGCAAATAGAAAAAGTGCTTACCATACTATTTCCTTCATTAAGTGGAAAGTTCTGAGACAGAGGATTTAGAGTGTTCCTGGCATAGCTTAAAAAAATATTAAAATATATAAAGGTTTGAATACATGCTTATTTTGTATCCTTTAACATATAAAACACAGGTTTTACTTACATTAGACTTTCATCAGCATCACCAAATTCATCATCATTGAAACCAAACTGATCAACAAAGTTACTAGTCATCTCATGCATCTGATAATCTGAGAAAGCCTAAAATATATGCAATAAATAAAAAGTCATTCTCTTTAACATTTACTATTACACCAAATGAAAGGAAATTGAGTTATACATATTTTTAATTTAATGCTATGCACCCCACAATGCATTTAATGAAAATTTTCGATTTAAGACACACAAATTTCACAAAAGTGGTAATTGTGTTTTAGCTCAACCACTTTGATAATTCCTTAGAAGGAAAAAAAAAAAAAAAAAAAAGGAATGACAACTAAATGTTTTTATTACACATATACAATTAAGATACAGAATAAGTAAGATAAAATTGTAACTTTAATTTGCAACAGACCTTTAAGGCTGTTTTTTAATTCCCCTTTCAATCCTAAAAAAAGAGTAACATTGTTATAACAATTTTTTCTGAACTATGTCATTTCAAAATGAATCCTTGTCATACTATTCTTATGTAAATGCTTGATGCATACATTTACATAATGCAAAATTAACTTTTTGACAATAATAATGCTAAATTTCGCAAAGCAAAACCTTAATTTAGCAACAGAAATAAGAACTATTCTTCACTAATACCCATACTATTATCTACACAGTTCTCAGTTTTTCTGTGCTGTTAAAATATAGTTCACCTACCTCTTCTCTTTCTAACTTGGAATATACTGTTACAAATTTGTAAAAAGTACAGTTGTAACTGTTCAAAAACAGACATGTATTTTCCACAGAGTGGGCTGGGTATTTTTATTTAAGAATGCTTTGTCAAAAAAAAGGAAGTATTAAGTGGGTATGACGGCAGCTATTACACATGCACCTGCTCCCTCATGATGCTTTATATCAGTCCAATAAAAATACATTTGTGCTAATAAAAAAAATAAGCAACAAAGGCTAAAAGAAAAGGCACGTATGTAAAAAGGAGAATTAATTACACAGGAGGTAGGAGTTGTATTGCTGAATGCAAACAGGCAATGACAATTAGCAATAAAACGCAATCTCACAGTCACACCACAATACCCTATTATAAAAGGGGCAAACCGGACCTATGAAAGTTTGCAAGCAGCGATAGTTCCATATAATCTCAGACAGCCAAAGTGGAAAGCATAAGCAGAAGACATCATTTGCACAATGAAATGCATTGGAGGGCCATCAGGATATTGCAAGCTTGTGCAAGACAATCTGCTGTTCAAGAGAGCTGAATGTGCATGTAGTAGGCTATGGAATAGCTGCCAAAGGGATCAAAATGCCTGTAAAAGAAATGATTCTGGAAGCTGAAGAATTACAACGGCAGATGATCACTTCCTGGAGACAAGATGCTGTAGATAACTACTATCATGACAGCTGGCATCAAATCCCTCTGCTACTCCAAGACAGGCCATATTCTGGCAAACTGTGTCACATCAACTGCATGAAGGTGGACTGTATGCTTGACGACCTGCGATTTTTGCCCATTACATGTCAGAGCACGGTTGAATTATGCTGGTGAATGCTACAGTTGGACACCGTAGTAGAGGGGGCCACGTACTCTTTATGAATCAGTATTGATTTAACATGCAGAATGATTCCAGAAGAGCACTAAATACAGTGAGAGCCAGGGACATGCTATTGGGTGCCAAACATAGTCAAAAGAGATCATTACAGAAAAGGAGGCTTACATATATGGGCTGTGATCACAACAAATGGCTGCACTGATCACTGACCACATGTTCCTGTGGGAATTTAACTGCTGTTTCTTCTGTTACAGATGCAATATTTAAAAACAGAGTTTAAGACACAAGACAGCATATTTTAAAATTACATTTAAAAGAAAAAATATCATGATTTATCTCTAAAAACAGCTGGAAACTAGAATTAATGCATATGAAAATGGCAATACAGCTTAACACTGTTATACTTATGGTTGTCAGAGTTTGGCTTCTAAAAATGTCGAGCTTTCTTGTTAGGTGGTTGTGCTAATCCATAAGTACACAAAACATTTTTAAATAACTAGTAAATTAAATTTTTAAAATTAAGATTGTGCTGACACACTTTTTAGAAGAATAATTCAAACATATCACACAAGGATATCATTCTTATAAAGCAATGGAAGCTAAAATACAAATGATTACAGAAATACAGAAGCTGTAACAAAAAGTTTCATGACATTGTTAATAGAACATTTCACAGCTGTCAAAAAATGCTGAATATCACATATTTAAACCAAATACACTTGGAGCTCAGTTCTGGGGAGGATACAAATTTTTTACGTTCCATATATTAACTGTAACTCACCTTATGAGACAGGAAGCATATGCAAAAAGCCTACGTTATCAAACGATCTACAAGAAAACTGCATTTACTCTCCATATGGGTTGCAAAGCCTGGCTAATATCAAATAACTTAACCCAGGAACATAGCAACAGCTGTACAGAAAATGATGAATGCACTCAAATGGAGAAGAAAGAAACAACTCATTGCATGATCAAAAATTGGATGTGCCATCTTAGCAAAACTTGCTGATAAGATTTCAGGTATGGATATGTAAAGGAAAGTATTTGATGAGAGATTTAGATAGGAAAGTATTTGATGCAGTATTTGATGATAGAAATACTCTTGTAATTTTCCTGTGAATTTCTACACTCTATCTGCTAGCAGAGTGAACATGGCATAATGAAATTCACAAATTAACAACCAGCGTTTCCACCATCAGATATCACATTACAGCTTACTGTTCCATCTTTCAACGAATCCATTTTTCAGTTCACATATAAAAGTATTACTTGTATAGTGCATGCAGTGAGTTAGCTCCTTTATTCAATTCCATGATGTGACAACTGCCCCCCCCTAGCATCACATGTACACATTCATGATTTGTTTAGAAGTTGAGACTACTTTTCTTACAATCACTATTACTGCCTATCCCACAGGATTTCTACAACAGACTTCTGCTTCATTTTATTGACTGCCCTTAAATTTACTCGTCTAATAACTTACAAGATGAACAGATGACTCTTTTCCAAATGGAATGTCCCTGAAATCAACAGAATCTTCATCTGTGGAGGATGGTGGTACAGGTGGCCCACTGACCTAAATATTTTTAAGAACTATTAACGAGGGAATTCATTCCAAAAACTAATTTATCTCTAGTTTGATGCCATATTCACATTAACAAAATTTATTAAAGCAAAGAAAAATATCAGTGGCTAATAAATGTGAATACACTATTATACTAAGTATTAAAATATCTGTAAGCCAAAAAAAAAATGATAATAATAAAATAAATAAATAAATAAACATAAATAATAGAAGGTGTTTCACAAAGAAGGAACAAATTGCATTCAGTTGTAAGATTGCCATGTCTTACAACTATGATAAAAATTATACAGCAAGCAATAATAATTTTGTGGGCATAAAAACTGCTCCTTATTTATAAACACCATGAAGAATAAGACTGATGCATACTAAATCAAGAATTAAACAGAGAATGCATACCACATAAGTTGTATTTCTTTTATTTATCTCAGCTAATTTATCATTTACAAATTCCTCCCATTTCTTAGAGTGCTCTTCTGATATATCTGTAAAAATTTGATCCATTTAATTATATCATACATACTACATACATTGCATACTTTTTAGTGGAAAGGGGAGAACATTAGACTAAAAAAAAAATATTTAAAATAAGATTGCCAAAAAAAAAAAAAAAAAAAAAACTACTACTTTTGGCTTTTGTAGCAGTTATACAAAGGAGCAAAATTTTCAAAATGCAGCAGCTTCAACCAATTAAATCCTACAACACAGGTGTTAAAAGCCGAAAAGATAAAAGTGAAACAGTTCCAGTATGAGCATTTACTTAAAAATCACAAACTGGCATTTTAAGACTTAAATTCTTTTAGTTTACTTTCAAACAGTAGTGACCATTTAAACTGCAGCAACTACAAGCCTAATATAAACTTTAAAATTTTGTTGCACTTATTCGTAGGCACACATAGGTTACATACTACAGTTTCCAAAATTGTTAAATTTACGTTTATTAAAATTAAGAATGGGTCCAAACTAGAATGTTGAATGTGTTCCTTCACTTTAAAATAATCCAATGATAAGTTTTGTTACTAAGTTAATTATCAATATAATTTTAAATCAAAGGTAAATATAGTAATTAGGTTGCCGTAAACTGGCCAGTTAACTGGTCTTTAAAAGGGTATACGAATAAATATGCAACTTATATTACATTCACAAGACAGGGTAATAGACAACTACATGCATCTGTGCTTTCTTGAGCAAAAAGACACAGCAACCTGACAGCTAATCACCATACCAACTACAGCACAACAATTACATTAGAAAATTTTCTCCCTTTGCGATGCCATTATAAATGAAATGAATAAAATTAGCTTTAATTAACATTCTTTTAAAAGGAACAGAATTTTCATGATGCGGGTGAAAACAAATTGAATATTACAACAAAAAAAGCTATACTGATATCAACTGGGACATGGCTTTCTTAAAAATGATGAATACAGCTTGTACTTATTTCAAGTATATAATTATGCTCAATTAAAACCGGATAAATAATAACAATTTTAATAAAAAATTGTCAAGGCAGAGTTTTACGCATTTACATTTCCTCATGTATTAAACTTAGTTTTAACAAATATTTATTTATCTTTATTTTATATACACTCCAGTAATACTACCTGGCCATTTTTTCTTAAAACCCTTAGGGCTGTTTCTGAAAAAAAATGTTAACTATCAACATTTTCTATGAATTTTCCAGCCAATATATTTCAGTTTTGTTCTTTTCTCCCTGAATTCTATCACCCTTTTTCATCTTCAGGTGGCTTTTTGTGCAATAACTCATTTTAAACTGTTTTCTCATAACTCTAACATGCCTTTTTTTTCATTTGTCCCAGCAATTTGAGAATATTAGAAATTTTTAACAGCCATCTTACCTTCTGATGGATTGTTTATATAGCATAGACCAGCGTCTCTCAACCTTTTACGGCCATCACCTCCAGTCTATTATGGTGGGAAGGTGCTATTTATCAGAGGAAGAATACCCTTGTATTGTTAATGAACTATTTACTAACACAGATGAGGGTGATGATTCATTTTCTAAAGAGTTAGAAAGTGATACTTCTCTGTGCTTCGAGATTTACCACAGTCTTCATTTTAAATTTTGTCCTCTATAACATCTGTATTGTATACTATATCAAAATTTCGTACTTGTAGAAATTTTTTCAATAAATTTTCCCACTAAATGAGATGTAAAAGCTGAAAGTCTCCCAGACGGTACATCAGCTCATTTGGTGGTGTGGAGTGACTGGCTGGCCACTGAATACTGGCATTTCATTCCAAATTGGGTTTTTGGCGAACAGGCTGGTTATTTAGGCTTTTCAGTTTTTCCTCAAGTGTTACGTGAATATGTAATAGGGAGATCGGAAAGTAATGTCGTTTCTGCACATGTCGACAACAACATGGTAAGGGCAGAAGTGGAAGCACATCCATGTCAAACACTCTTAACCAACCTTGGTCGACAACCCAAGAACATTTAAAGCAGAATGGGAAAATAAGCAAAGCAGGTGTTTCAGTCCCCCATAATCTGTCCGAAAAGAACAAAACCAACCTATTAATCACATGCAACGTATTGCTTTAACGGCACAATACAGAACCGTTTTTTGATTGTTTGATTAGTGAAGACAAAAAAATAAGTCCTATATGATAATCCAAAACTCAAAAGGCAGTTTTAATACGGGTTACAAAGGGTTTCCATCCCGAAAAAGCGCTTCTGGGTGTTTGATGGAGTATTCGCGGAATTGTTCATTTTGAATTGCTGAAACCTGGACAAACTGTTAATGCAGACCTTTATTGTGAACAATTGGACGGAGTGAACCAATCTAATCGAAAAATATCAATTGGCAACAGAAAAGGCGTCATTCTGCAACACGACAATGCAAGACCGCACTGTGCAAGATAAACACTGGGAAAAATTATTGAATTTGGGTGGGAGGCACTGCCATACTCGGCCAATATTGCAGCATTGGATTTCCATTTATTCGGATCCCTACATTTTTTTAGTGGCAAAAAAATATGAAAATTTGGATGATGTCCAAAATGTCCTCTCGAGATATTTTACTCATAAACCAATTGATTTTTATCGGTTCGGGATTGAAAATGTGCACATTAGATAGCAAAAGGTTGTTGATAATGAGGGCGATTATATTATTGATTAAAAATAAAAACTTAATAAAAATGTATTAGCTTGAATTTAATGTAAGAAAGCGAAGTTACTTTCCAGTTCGCCTATTATTTTTAAAAGACAAAGATTACGAAGTAATAAACTAATTAATATTCATTTTTTGTTGAACTGCCAATGATAAGAAACACATTTTACTACCTAGCAGTTAGGCAAACAGAATATGATTTCGTGATGGAACAAGGACTGTAATAAACGTCAAATGCTTTTTTTAAAGGAAACTTCAATTTTCAAGTAAACGGTTAGTAAGCGCTTCTTACAAAATATGTTAAATTATAAATTTTTATGAATAAAAATTTAAATTAACAAAGGCTTTATACAAAGTTGTTGCTCATTCAGGATAAATTTCTAATTTTGTGATCTCCATTTTGATGTGATTATTAGGTTGAAGACTTAGTTTTTTACCACTGTCGGTGCTTATAACTTAACGAAATCATGTACCCAATATTTCTTAGTTCATACATTTGCTTTTTCATAGAAAGCTGTTAAACATATTTTTTTATGTTAAGAGATTCACTGTTATATTCCAGTCCTAAAATATAACTCCTTTTAGCTACATTACATATTTTAAGTTTTATCATTTTGTGATTTATTTGTGATTCATCATTAATCTTCGAATTGGATCCGGCTTATTATTTTTTGCTGACTGTTAGAGCAATTTTATAAAAGTAAGCTTGAACTTTCGATTATGTCAAAAAGAATTTGCTATTCTGGAGCTGCCAAAGAATCTACAAAGCGAAAGCCTGTTTCGATTATCAGGTTCAATGTTTCTTCTTACCTTCTTCGGAAACATACAATGACCTGACTAGAACAGAGAGCTTACTAAAGCTATGTTCACTAATTGTAGTAAGTAGACAGGATACAGAAGAAGGGTATACAAAACCCTTTATTTTTCTTTATATACAATGACTTCCGTACTTCGGAATACAATGACCCTCCACTCGGGGTCTAACGTAAAAGATATCAAAATAAAACTAAACTCTAATTTAACTTTAGAATAAGATTGGCCTTATAATAACAGGAAGCATATGTAGCACAGAGACTGTGAACACTACAATACGTTTAATTTATCAAGAGGATTAAAACCTCTGGCCTGGAAGGCAAATAGCAACTGCGTAACATCTAAGGTAAGCGGCCTGCTTCGAACTCACTGCTTCCTCTCTTCTGCTTGGCAAAAAGGCCACACTTAAATACTTGGCGTTCGCCAGACAACTTTGCATAAACTCCTTCACGCTTATAATTCTGGCCCGGAAAGTAGAAAATAAGAAGTGCGATAGTAAAGATTTAAAATAAAATAAACGTTAGTAAAACTTAAGATCCTTACATACTTCCCGCCAGAGTTAATTTGTTTGAAACTGAGGTCTAAAACGACCTTGTTGAAAACTTTTAACTCTAAAAACTAACGCGAGGCCAACCTTTTACAATCATAACTTAGCTAGAAACTAGAAAATTTAAAAGAAAGAAATTTGTTACAATAGCAGCTCCCGGGATATACAACAATCTTTTTTTTCTTTTTCATCTGTACTGCATCTAAACAGGAGCTTTATTCAATTCTGGTTCCTTCCAGAGACTAGTTTAATAAAATGTTACAGAATGAGATTGCAAATAACATATAGAATATACATTTCTTAACATTCTTATTTCATTCATGACTATTTTAATTATCTCTCTCCCGTGCTCTCTGACATGTGTTGTAAAAGAACACCAAACCACGAATGTGTTTCTGTCTACGGTGCCACACTTCCTCCTACAATCAAAACACTAACGTGTTAAAATTCAACATACGAGACCTCTTAACACACCCTAATTTCAACTCTAGACCCTGAGGTACTATTCTGAAAGTGGCTAACTCTAAAGTGTAGCGTCAGAGAGCCTAATACATCATTCAACCTTTAACATATATTCGTCATGATTTAATCTTTACAGTCACACGAATAACAAATTTTTAACATTACTTTCACTTTTACCATATCACGGTATTTCTTAACATTCAAAATAACAGTTCACATGTATACAAGAACATATCAACATGCCGTTAATTTTACACATTTGAAAACATACATTAGTAGTACATTGTTAACTTCTATTCTTTTCAAAGCAAGTGCCAATTCTTTCTACATTGAAATAATACTACATTTCAAAAAGTCTCTTTCAGACTAAAAACTTCTTTCTTGCTAGAATGTTTTAAATAAAATTTATACAATAACTTTTTACAATATTTAAGTCTTTACACAACGCTATTATAACATCAACTTTAGTTTTACGCGCGAGTAATTGAAAAACATAATAAGAAAATCGGTCACAACTCATTTCTCGCCCTTT